TTGGGACACCGTGAGAAAGGGAGCGGATGGAGGGTCAAGAGAAGTTTTCCTCTTCTCCACAATGTATCTAAGAGCTGGCAGCTTTAGTTTCAATAATTGATACTTCAGTGTATTGAAATGTCGTCACTTCACCTCTCTGTCAGAGCATGACTAAATCTAGCCAAGCACACGCCAGAAGAGCACACTGTGGCCTTTTAAATGGTGAAATCACTCTTCCTGGTGTACAGGCTCCATCAGCCATGGAGTCAGGGTGTAGGTGCTGTGGGCAGCCCTTTTGTTTTACACCGGAAGCCACAGATGCCCAGGGGCTCAGGGCAAGATCTTCTTATCACAGGTTCATTATTCCCCCCCCTCGGCTGTGCCCGTGGTGTAGACACACAGCATTTTACAGCTGCAGGACCGCAGGGGTTGTGCGAGGACTGCCTCCATCAGCTTCAAGAGTGCAGGTGACGGCGACTTGCCTATACTGGTGCTCATCTTCAGTTTGCTTTCAGGAACTTTCTGGGTATGCTTTGCACAGGCAGCTTCTGGGAGCCATGGGGCCAATTGCAATTCCCTTGCCCACCTGAAATACCATTTTACCAGCTGAAGGCTCATGACTCATAGTTTTCAGTCCTGCTCTCTGAAATGCTTAATTTTAGTTTCAGTTCAGACTAGGTCTGTCCCAGTTTTTTTTTTTTTTTTTAAGGACTTTATTTTTGAAGGGAAGGGAAGGAGAGAGAGGGAGAGAACATTGATGTGAGAGCGAAACATCGATTTTTTTGCCTCTCGCATGCCTCAGCCCAGGCCCAAACCCGCAGCCCAGGCGTCCCAGGCACGCGATGCGCCCTGACTGGGGATTGAACCAAACCAGCTGAGCCACACCAGTCAGGGCTGGCGCGTCCCAGTTTATATTCCACTGTCAATGACCTTTGATTATCATCTAAATAGACCGTATTGTTCTCTGAAAATTTGCTCACCTCATTGTCAGCCCTTATCAGGGGTTTTTGCCTTTGCAGAACGACTTAAGGGAAAAACCACCACAACCAGCTAGCTTTGGGAGCAAAGGCACGGCGAGTGATTTCCGCTGTGATTCTTGCTTTGGCTTATTCCCGCTGAAGGGAGTTCTGAAATGAAATGCTCTCTCCGTTCTTATTGTGAGGTCGTATGAAAGTGTACGCCGGAAAGCAAACCGGTATCCTTTATTAATTGTTATTTTTGGTAATTATACTGTAGACAGAAGATTAGGAACGTGCTGCTCATGAGGCAGAAACAGTTTCCTTCCCACCTGGGCTGACTGTGGAGCCAGCAGTGTTCGGACCGTAAGGTCCAGTGTTCCAGTCTGTTTCAGGCTGTTGGTCTCTGAAATTTAAGCGTAAATGTCTGCTGTCTTGACTCACATATTGCCAGCCTTTGTCACCTTCCCCCTTGTGCCTTTCCCATGCTGTCTTTCTCCCTCAGCTACACTGGAACACACAGAACTGTTTTCCTTGTTACTCAGCCATCTCGGAAGCCTTCCTAGGGCCGGAAGGTGCCCCTGACCTCCTGTCCCCCTTCCCCACAGCGTGGCAGTGGGAGCACTGGTTGCGGTGCCAGGGCGGGGCAGAGAAGGCACAGTACAAATGAACAGTCAGGCGTGGATCGGGATAACACTCCAGCTCTGTTTTCCCATAGCTTTCTTCTGTTTCCTGACTTTGGAAAAGTACTATCTTCTTTGGAAAAGGAGCAGCTCTCTGCGCAAATGAGTCTGCCCCTAGAGTAGAAGTTAGCTGTTCGTTACTGCGATACCGAAAACGTGTATCCATTTTTTAGACGATGCAAATAAAATGTCAGAAGACACTTGAAAGCAGTTAAGTACTTTCGCTTGTTTCTATTCAAAAGGCAGGCACTGTCCTGTTGAATTGTTTTCTCCTTTTGTAAATAGCCTCAACTTGTAGAGAGTTTGAGTTTGGAGATAAGTTGCAGTTTCCGAGACTTAAAAAAAAAAAAAGGGAAGGAAAGTTAGGTTCCTTTAGACCCCAGACACCCTGGCCTGCACCTCTACTCAGATACGCCCCCAAATCCAGAGACAGTGTGTTCTGGCCACAAATGCCAGGGATCCCGGAGAAGCTATAATGGGGTGCACCCCTGTGCATCCCCACCCTCTCAGGAGCAGGGAGGAGTGACGGGCAGTTAGGTAAGCTGTGCTCACGGGAGTTTAAACACTGTGGCCAGGGGTGGAGGAGGAGTGCCTACCACCCCCACAGCATGCTCTCTTCTCAGAACGGAGTGGGCACGAGGAGTGGACGCAGGTGAACAAAGGGCCGTGGAGGAGTAGATGGCGGGGGTACATAGGTCTCTGCCTCTGTACGCACATGAACTGAACCTCAGGTCTTCAGGCGGCCCGATTCCCCCGTGACTGAACCCCCCTGTTTTCATCATGGGGGCTGATGTCCGTACTTGTGCCCACTTTCTCATGGAACTTCTGCCTCTGAGGTGGTGGGTAGCCTCAGCCGGTGGATGTGCAGTGAGCCCATTTCTGTAGCCAGGCAGTGGCCGTGGCCCGGGCCGGGGGTCCTGGCAGCCACCAGCTGTCACAGAGCCAGCCCCATGGGGTCTGGGGGACCACCCCGCCACACAGCCCATCATGAAGGGAACAATTCCCTCTCCAAGAACTGGTAGGAGAGAGGTTGGCATTGAAATGTGGGTGTTTAGGCCACCCTGTTCCTCTAAAAAAAAATTGTTCAGTCTTTGCAGTCACAGATTTCTGTCCTAAAGAGCGCTGAATAATTTATGAAACCTATTTGGAATTGAATCATTTTGATACTTTATTGTTAACCTGCTAGAAACAAAGCCTTTTCAAACCCATCAACACATTCATAGCTATTTATACAGTAACATATGTGTTATAAACGTAAAAATGTCTACTAGGGAAGAACATTTAAGCAATTCATTGTGAATTGTATTTGTATTGTGAAGTATCTATATCTTGAGAGATCATGTAAAAAGTTTTTTCATATGGAACATGTGCTTTGTCTCCTTTGCGGATACCCCCCGTTTTGTCCTCGTTTGTCCCTGTTAAAAAACGGTGGAACTGCCTCGCTTTACAGAGACGCAGCTGTGGAGAGAGTGGGTCACCTGTGACCCTAACGTGTTGGTCATTGTGGGCACTCAGGTGTATTTGTGAATCGTTTCTCTCCTGTGTATTGCGGTCTGTTCATTCCTGGTGACCCGCTCCCCCCCCCGCCCGACGCCCCTCTGACGAGCACTCTGTCACAGGCTTGGACACAGTCACAGTCCAGTTCAGATCCTGGCTCTTAACGCCACTAACTGTGCCGCTGTGGTCCTGTCTTCACTTCTCCAAACCCGATTTCCTCATGTGTAAAATGCACATAACATTCTCTACTTCAGAGATTATGTTGAGAATGAAACGAGATGTTGTATTTAAATGTGTTTATCTGGAGTACTTAGTTTATCACTTGGCTTATGGTGAAATGGGATCACTATTTCTCTAAATAAAACTTGTTTTCACTGTAGTATAGAATATATTGATTTTACTCCTAAGTGAGTGCAAGACAGTCTATGGTGCTTGTGGAAATTCAGTTATTATAATTCACTGCCTGGGATTAATGACTGTGAAAGTAGAAGACTTTAGTTCAGAGAAACAAATGATTACTTGTGATAAGGTAGATGCCCGCAGGGTCTTATAATTAATTAACGAATCTGTTGATTGGTTTTCTTTGTTGTGGCTTGTTTTAACCTTTGGAATATTGTTACTAGAAAAGGAATGCTATTTTTTTTAATGATGCTAAATAACCTCATTAAAGCTGCCTGTACTGTTCTTATTCTGTGATTATAATAAACATTTTGTGGGATAAAATTTGTATTTTAGTTCTTTCAGGAGAAAAACAAAAGAATTTTCAAGTGAGTTTCTGATTTTTCTTAGTCTGAGTCACTCAGAAGTTTAAACTTTAATTTTTGGGCTTAATTCAAAAGCTAAAAGAAAAAAATCTTTAAAAAATGTCATAATTCTGTCATCAACATGAAAGATCATTTTAAATCTCAAGAGTCTATATTTCGAGGCTTTTGAAAAAACAGACTTTAATGCAGATTGTACATTTTAGAAGATAGTAGTCATTTATTGCATGAATATCCAAATAGTATTCAAACACATTTTACTTACGGTATGTTAGATTTATTTTTGGAATGAAAGCAGTAAGTCCTCCATTTATATTTACTTTTAGTTTTAAAAATATGTCGTGTTTAGTGCTTTCATCTAAGGGATGAAAACAGTGCGTTTCAGTTTTTCCTGGCTAGTGAATAATGTAGGGCCTTCTCCAAAGAGGATCTCAGTCCTAATTTTATCTTTATATATGACTAGATTTTAAGCTTTATATGAGGTTTCAATTTACTATCTAAATTTATGTACCTGAACTTGACTTCCTTGGTTTTAATTATAAATCGGGTAATGTCCAGTTCATCCATTTAAAGATCAAATGAACCTGCAAAAAAGAGCAACTGTTTGCTGTGGCCATTCTTTTGCTTTCCTGTCCTTCTGATTTCCAACAACTGGAGGGACTTAAAAAACGTTGACACTGGATTAGACTCCAGCTAATTTTTAAATTATTTTAAAGCAAGTTTTTTTAGTTTTTTTTTATCAGCATAGATACCCATAAACTTGTATTTGTACATGGATGTCGATTTGCTTGCAAAATTTGCAAGAGTACCTGTGTGATACCGCTCCTTTACGATGAACAAAATGCCAAGGTAACAAAATTGGAACTCTACCTAAAGCTGACATTCTCTCCATACTTTGGGATGAGCCTGTACTACTTAGTATGCATTACTTTTATTTTACAGAGTAAGGGATTTTTCCATTGAACATGTAACTTTCAATTTTTGCTTTTTCCTTGGGCTTAGAATCAGTTATCGTCGTATTTGAAATGACCGCTGTGTAATGATTTTGAGGTTTAACCGAGCTTCTGTGCGTGTTAGAAAGTACTTCGTAGGACCAACCCTGTCTCCCCCTTTGGTTTGTCTAGAAGACTTGCACTGTCTGCCAGATGCTGCTTCCCAACCAGTGCAGCTATGCATCCCACCAGAGAATCCATCAGCACAAATCTCCCTACACCTGCCCCGAGTGCGGGGCCATCTGCAGGTCGGTGCACTTCCAGACCCACGTCACCAAGAACTGTCTGCACTACACGCGGAGAGTTGGTTTTCGGTCAGTATATCGTTCGCTTAACGTGCAAATAAAGCTCGCTCACTTAATAACCGCACAGCATTTCGAGTGGTCTGTGCATCTGGTGTTCCGGGTCGGACGGTGGTACCTCGATGAACATCGTCTGGGAACTGGGCTCGTTTCTGGTGGAGGTGATCTGTTTGATTCCTTTCACGTGGTCTCGGCCCTCTGATCCTCATGAACCTGAGGGTACATGGAGCTCCTCCTTCCAGGCAAAGTGTGCATGTGGCAAGGTTTGGCGTAGGTCAACTGTTCACGCCTCTTCTTCTGCACCCTTTCTAGCAAACCTTTATTGTCTTCCTCTGCATTTTAACCCCTGCAAGAACACCGTGCATGTCTGTGCCTCTGAACCCTTCTCCCCTAAACCAGAAAGGGTGCAGCGGTTCCTTCCTTTTATTTTGGAGCAATGACGGATTGAGTGAACGTTCTTTCTTAACACTGCTCTTTGTAGAAGAGCCTTCCACTACCCCAGGTGTCCTTCCTCCATTCCTTCTTCTCCATCACCTGCGCCCAGGCTCCTCCCTCTCTTCACACACCTTGACTGTGACCCCTTTCACCATCCCCAAAGATGCTCAGATGCGTCTTGTACAACACCTGACAAATCTAATGTTAGTTTAGCTAATAGCGATTGATGATGTGCTTGAACTTGACTCTCCACTGTGACCTTCTGAAATGCATTCCTGTGCCTTTTCTATTTTGACCCAGTGAAGGGCCCACCAAGAAAACCTGTCATTGATACACGGTATCTTTGTTAATAGAGGTATTACTGTATTGTGTTTTATCTTAAACTTAAGTGTTTGGTTGCCTAGTATCTTTCATGTTAGACTTAATGTACAGTGATTTTTTTTTTTAAAGCTATAATATACAGTTACAATGTTTTATGAAAGGAAAGTCCAGTTGGTGTGATTTGACAGTTTCATTTCAGTTACACTGAGGTGAATGCATCACCAGTTCCTAGGCGGCTCTGTCCATTTTCTGACAGTGAGAGAGACTTTTTTCATATTTTCATCTCATGCCTCCAGGCCTGTGATGCACAAACGTTTAATGGATTGGGGTCTATCCCTAGCAGAAACCCTTGGGATTGGAAGCTTAAGAAACCAGAGTTTGGGGTACCAGTCCTGCTACTAACTCTGTGGCACTCCACTTGTTCTCCCTAGCACCACGGTGCCCTGTCTGTGAGTCGCTTGCCTCCATCCCTGCTGGGATGTTAGGGAGTGAAACAGAATCATCAAAACGCATGCCTGCTGGGAGCTTAGGGGGGAAGGTACACACTGGAGGTGCCTTTGCCTCTGCACAAGCTGCGCACAGTGTCGAAGTGGTCCTTACCCCAGGTTTAGAAGCTCTCATTACCGGGTTCTTCTGGCTCTTTTGTTTAATACTGATGGAAAGCGGTCCTACGGCGTTTTCTGGGCACTCTTCTCCTAACAGATGCCAAACGTTCTTCAGATGCTAGCTTATTTTCCTAATACATTGGAAGTAAACTTAGTTTGGAATGACTGCAGGAAGCAAGACGTCTATAATTTGAGCTATTCCTGGTTTCTTTCCTAAATTGAAACAAAGGCTCCGCAGTCCCTTGCTGCTGTTTTTTCTTTTTTCTTTTTCACCAGTTCACACAGTTGCTTAAATTTGGGGCCTTGAATTTTACCTAAAATTTTTGTGTTTAGTATAGAGTTTTTTCCCCCTAGACACGAGGCTTATCATAGCTGTAAAAATATTATGTGTTTGTATATTCTGAAGTTCACATTTACCTTTCTAGATGATAGAAAAGAATTTGACTGCAGTTTTTTTTTTTTCCTTGCTGTCTTAAACATCCACTCTAATATTTGGCTGGGGCTTAGCAACCCCTTGGTGTTGCATATTTCCCCTGCCTTTATGTTTTCTAATTTTGTTTGTTTGTTTTTGAGGAAGAAGAGTCTCTGTAACCGCTTGCATGTTTTACTTTGGCTCTTTTTGGTTCAGGGTGCCTCATTTTCTCTCTTCTTGATCTTACTATGTCTCCTACATAATGAGGAGGGGGTCGCTTGTAGCTTCGGGTTGATTTGGTAAAAGTCAAATATTTCTCTGAATTTTCCTGGTTCACCACCTATTGGCACTGAGTCTAGAAAGGGGAATTCCAGGATTCTGTACTGTAAACAGTTTTTACATTAAAGAGAAACTTGATCAATACTGAGAACATAAAGGATTTCAGGTGTATTAAATAGGAATAGACTGATTTTTAGGAGCATTGGGAAGCTGTGTGACCCTTCAAACTCTGATTTCTCTCAGTCTTTTTAAAAAAATATTTTATTTATTTTTAGAGAGAGGGTAAGGGAAGGAGAAAGAGTGGAAGAGAAACATCAACATGTAGTTGCCTTTCATGTGTCCCTTACTGGGGGCCTGGCCTGCAACCCAGGCATGTGCCCTGACTGGGAATAGAACCAGCAACCCTTTGCTTCACAGGCCGGTGCTCAATCCACTGAGCTACACAAGCCAGGGCTGATTCCTCTCAGTCTTAACGTACATTCACTATCAGCCTCTTCTTGCCCTTGAAACTTCTTTCCACTTCAAGCAGGTATTTTACAACTTTCTCTTTCCTGAGTTTTTTTAAATTTCCTTCTTTCTTTCCTTACATTAAAGAGGGTTTTCTTTTGGCCTCCTTGATGCTTATTGGACCAAACCTCAGCCACCTCCTTCATTAGCTGTAGATTCTTTAATGTCCAGTTTATTTTCTCGAGCATTAACTCTTTCTCTCCCTCCAGGCGACTTCAGAGAATGAGTGCTTTGTCCCTTTCACCCCTTCCTTGGTCTTTTGCCCTTTGAACGCTACCCTTCTAGCCTTGGTGGGAAAAATATTTTGTTGATGACTCATGAGGGTCCTTCTATTTCATTAGTAACCCATCTATTTTTGTTTTATGTAATCTTTTTCTTTCATAGGAATCACAGGCTTCCAGGTTTGGGAAGGACTAAAACAAAAAAAAGTCATTTTACACATGAGCAACCTGCCCAGTGACAATCGATAATAACCCGTTCAAGAGAGTACAGGTTCAGGTTAACCCGAAATAACTTCCGTGTGCTGGGGTGGCTTTGTTGCCTAAGACAGAAGTAGATAGGATGGGGTGGCAGGGAGCTTTTCTTAATTATTCTGTTTTTATTGAGTGATCTTAGTGTGTACACGGCTGAACATTGTGCTTTAAGTCATTTAAAATCCTAATGCATTAGTAACAATTTTTATGAAATGCTTGCGAAGCTTCACGAGGCATGCTTTATAGAACACATGTCATTCTGAGCACACCAGTCCTCTGAGACTCTGGGAGCCTCTCCATGAATTCCGAAGGGGATCTAAGAATAGAAGTACCTTAGATTAATCCGGAAGTCTCTGAGCACTGCCCCCTGGAAGGCGGCCCTGTCTGCGGTCCTCATTCCTCAAGTCCATGTTCCCATTCACATAGCCAGGCGTAAACTGGGAGGGACAGCTAGGTCCTCCGAGGGTCACACACACTCTTCAGTGCTGCTGACGGTTCTTGAGTGTTAACGATGGTGGGGGGGATGTATCTCCAAATTTTGAAGTTTGTTTCTGTAAGGCTAGGTTTGAACGAGGAACAAAGGCGCTTAGGTAGACAGGCGATTCATTTAGAAATGTTGATTTTTCAGAAGTTTATTCTTCATGTCATTTCTTAAACAAATCAGAGTGGACTTCAATTTATATTTTAGAGGATGTATAGTATAGGTGGTTGACCTTGACCTGATGGGCCCCCAGAACCTCCAGATGCATTAGCCACAACAGTGTGAACCAGAAATAAGTGACTTTGGCTTGAGAGCCAATGCCCACTTGTTCCTCTGTGCCCCCCTCTGCTGGTGGCGTGAGGGTTGGGTAGCAAAGCTCTCTTCTGTTGGAAATACTATTTGGGTAGAGGGGTGGGGAGGAAACACAGGGTCCTAATGTCTGAATGGCACATAGGAGAGTCTTCCCCAAAGCCAGGAGTCATCTAGTCTTGCTGTGTTCATGGCCTTGATGATGCCCCCCATGACCCACTGGTCTCGCCACAGTCTGGAGTCTGGACATCCAATCCTAAACACTTTAAAAATGCTCAAAAGGCAGGCCATTAGAGGTGTATGTTTCTTCTTCATGATCTTCCTTCCTACATACATAAAAAATATTATGGTCTGCTCTCATTAGAAGAAATGAAACCTACTTCCAGGAAGCTATTGACAACCCAGAGGGGCTATTACAATGTGTCCGTTTTACCCAGTTTTTACGCAGTTAAGTTACACATGTTGAATGGTCTCGTGCTAACGACTCTGTGTTTATCTTCCTAACAGATGTGTACATTGCAATGTTGTGTACTCTGATGTGGCCGCCCTGAAGTCTCACATTCAAGGTTCTCACTGTGAAGTCTTCTACAAGTGCCCTATTTGTCCAATGGCGTTTAAGTCTGCCCCAAGCACACACTCCCATGCCTACACACAACATCCGGGCATCAAGATAGGAGAGCCAAAGTAAGTCGTGCGCCTTTGACCGCTGCCCCGCTACCGTGTGAGTGCTTCCGAGGAGGTAGGAGTTCTGGGGGATCACATTTAAGGCAGGAGGAACAAGGGTGCCACCAGGCAGATTCTGCTGCTTGATGAGGCACAGCTCTTAGCTCCCAGAACCTTTTGTCCTCTCTGAGTGATACCTTTGTCCAAAAGTGTCCCTTTTTATTTTTATGCTCTTGCCAACCAGTTTTTAGTAAGCAGGTGAATGTATATTAGTTTTGTCCTTTTTCTTACGATGATTTTCCTAAGTTCTAGGAAAACGATAAAAGCCTGTCATCCTTCCATTTTTCCATGGTTTCTTATAGTTACTCTTTTCATAGTAACATTTGTAAGATGAAGTCAACTTAAGGCGCTGGTTACTGAATTTAATTTCATTGCCAGTATATGTCCTTGGTTAGTAAAAAAATTTTATTTTTGCCTTAATCTCACTCTTCATCTTGTCAACTTTTGCTTTTTTGTGTCTTTCGTAATGAAGTGGGGCTCCAGCCAGTGATTATGGGCTGCCTGCCTGCAGTAGAGGCGGCTTAGCACAGGAGGGAGCGTGGGCACCCACGTCAGAATCCCACCGCCCACCCACCGGCTGTGGACGTGGGCTGCCACTCAGCCTGTCTCAGTCTCTGTGTCTCCTCCTGTCAAGTGAGGGCAGTGCTCACGTCCCAGGGTTTGAGTGACAATAACCAGGTGATGTGTTTGGAAATCCTACCCTGCACACAGCCCTATGTCCAGAGCGTGAGGGGGCCCTGTAACCACAGTTCCTTCCCACAGTTTCCTGCCCCCTCGAGGAGATACAGGCAGGACACGGGTGAGATGCTAGAGGTTGTGTTCCTTTTATTCTGCATTATTTATGTCCACGTGGAATTTGAGGATTCTGTGCGGCTGGTTTGGCCACCTCATATCTGTTGTGCTTTTGCCCATAACTGCACGTTTTCAGGTGAAGCTGTGCAGAAGTGATTCTGTTTCCTAAATAGTATGATAGTGTGGACTTTTATTCTAATAGGATCTTCACTCTGATTTCTGTAGATGCTCAAATGCGACAAACAACAATGGAGGGGACCATACACAATTTGGCGTGTTAGTTCTGAAGACAGACATTAGTGAATTGTAGTTAATTTTTAGTGTTCATGGTCATGGGGCTTCTGGACACTAATGTAGTCATTTCCCTCCAGTGAGTAAAGTTTTTGATTTGGTTCTTTATTCAGGTTATAAAAATGCACTCGCCAAAATATCTGTGAAGTCTGGAGCACTAGTTATTTGGAGATACAGTTATTTGGAGATTTGAATGCTATGACAAATGTGTAGGAGAACGTAATTCCAGTACTTTTTTTTATACCACGTTTTTTTCCTAGATGGGTCTTTAATAAGTGCCAAGCTTGAAGATGGGCATCGATTGCTGGGTTTTAACTCTAAAACCAAAACAGATTCGCAGATGCAGTAAAGCTCCCAAACCAGTGAACACTAAGTTACCAGGCTGATTCGGGCTGACTGGAGGCCCCGCCCACAGCCGGGCCGTGGCCGCCCGTGCTGCTCCGTGGGCTCTGTCATTGTCACGCCTGTACTGCAGTGTGCTTCCAGGACACTCTTCCCTGGCACCATCCCCTGTTCAGGCTCCTGCACACCCTCCTTCCTGTGCCATGCTGGAGGGCCAGTGCGGCTACATGTGACCCTGAAGCCTCCCTTTGACGTTAAGTCCATCTCTGTTCTATCTTAGCCCGAAACAAGTCAGTAGCCCACTCCAGTGGAGCTTTGGGCATTGAAATCTGGCAGTATTTGATTACCAGGTGGTTTTATGCAAATGTGTCAACTATGCAGATGATTTTCATTAATTTTTAAAGATAAATACAGAACCCCCATTCCTATTTTCTTTAGAGAATACAGGGCAGCCTGAAAAATCTTCCCATAAAGCCCTGCCCCCCCCCCCCAGTTTGAAAAGTATGACAGCAGACTTTTAGCAAATGTTGATACGCTGTCACCAAGTGCCAAGTGTTGTTCCAGAGCTTGTTGTCCAGGGTAACGCCAGGCACGCTCTCCTACTGGGGAAAAGGAAACTTCGAATAGCTGTGGTCTTTACTGGGTGGTTGGAGATCATTGTCAACGACCATTACAGTTCTACAGCGACCCAGTTTTGTGTCTGGTCAGCTCTGTCTTTTCCTTGATGTTGGACGAACAGCAGGTTCTTTTGCTGCTTTGGGCCTTCCTTTCACTTGCCAGCTCTAAATGTATCTGAGTGGATAAATGAAAACTCCAGAGTTTAGAATCGTATAAGAGAGACGGAGTTTTTAAACAAGTTCCTAAGGCATAAAATGTGTGAAATTGCAGTAGCAGCAGGGTAGAGGGCTTGGGAGCCGGCTGAAGCTGAATGTGACCCGTGGCTGTGGGGTCACCATGGTTTCCACCCCATTGAGCCTGTTCCCTAATCTGAGTCGCAGTACCTGTCCCTCTGCAAAGTGGCAGCCGAGGCATGGGGGCTGAATGGTGCTTGAGACGGTGCTCTGTACCTAGCCGGGTTCAACTTGAGATGCAGGAGTTTTGTGGTCGTGAATGCAAAGCTCGGGACCCTTTCTTTATCCACTTGTTTTCACATCCATTTCAGGTGTCACGCTCTCTTCTGGAGAGTTTCGGTTGCTACAAGTTGGAGCCGAGTGTGGGTGTTTGGTTCTGGTGGTCTCTTTGTTTTCTTCCCCTTCCCGCCCACGCCACTGCTTCCCCCCTTGGCTGTGGGCTAGTTGCTCCCATACTCATTGACTCCTGTCACGTCTAGGACTAAGTCACAGTTGTAGGTTTGCCATCGCCACCCCGCCCCCAGGAACCCAGCACACCAAGTTCTCGCTTGTCTCCTGACTGCACTGCACCCTGTCAGACTCTGCACACGTGGGCCTCCCCCCCGCTGGGTGTGCTGCTGTGGTTCTTCCATTGTGTTGGCTCCCTCTTCACGTTCTCTCCATGTCTCTGAGGGTCCTGTTTGTTTGGGCTTTGCCTTAACTTCAGCACCAGCTTTTATCATGTAATTGTTTCTGTCCTGCAGAAACATGGGAAGAAGCCTCCTGAGCCCTCTCGCATCCCTTCACCCAGATCCCCGAGTTGTCAGCAGCTGTCTTTCTCCTAGTGGGGAACCCCGGGGTGCCCAGACGTGAATAGGGCAGGGTTTTCTGCCGTGCTCCTGTGAGGACACTCGCCATCCCAGTCACCAGTCGGGATTGGTCACGTTCCCATCCAGTCTACTCATAGAGCCCACAGACATTTCTCCGTTGGTTGTCTTTATAGAAATTTCTGGAACAAAACTCTATCTAGGAGCCCATTTTACGTTGAATTGTCCTGTCTTGTCAGTGCTTTTCCACCAGGGACAGCTGCTGGGTCTCTCCCCCTCTCCTGTCCCTGGCCGCCCAGCTGGGGACACCGGCCTGTCATTTGGAGGACAATCCTCGAATCTTCTCATTGCGTCCCACTGGGGACACACTGTGCCTGTGCCTGCCTGTCCTTGTCATGCTGCCATCCGTAACCTCCAACATCTAGTGCACTTGGTGCCACCTTTTCGCCTTTATATTTTGAGCCACTTGTGGGGCAGAATTCGGATGTAACACCAGCAACCCATTCCTCTGAAACATGCCCACGTAAATACATTCTCTGCTGTTTTATACTGTTCTTTGCTATTAAGTTCTAGAAGGCAACAAATCAAACCAAACGAAACCCCGCTCCGGAGGAGTGTAGCAGGAGTAAAGTGAGCTGTGCCGTGTTTTTTTCATGACATAGTTATTTCTGGAAAAGTAAGAATAGAATCCTGAGAACGTTCTTAGCCTACCTAGTAAATCTTACTTCTTTTCTTTAGGCTATTTTCCCCTTTATTGCTCTGTGCTAATTTTAGGGGAAAAAAAAAACCAAAACAGAATATCTAGACAAGCAAAACAATAAAGGAATCCATACATTGTCACCCTGCAGAGATGATGACAGGTACATGCCATCTGTATCATTTCTGCACTCCTTTAAAAAATGTGACGTCATACATAGTGACAGTCTCGTTACCGGTTGTTTTGATTTTCATTAAAGTCTTTCCATGTCCTTGGAATATATCTGCAACATAATTACATTTTTCACACAGTTGCTGCTATTTAACTACTTACGTTCCTGGGCTGGTTAAAAAGTGCAGCTGTTTCACACGATGAGGAAATGAATGTCTTTGTCACAGCTGGTGAAGCTGGTGAGGACATGGGGGTGTGACCTGAAACACTGTCCCCACACCCACCAAGGGTGCTCGTGTTCTGTGCTGAAATAACACGTCGAGACCTTGTAAAAACACGTGTCACTCAGTCTGATTAAATTGATAAATCTTCTGGGGGAGAAAAGAAAACTAGTTACACTAGTCATTTCTGGACAGAGAGATACAAAGCGAGGTTGGAGGGTACCTGAGAATCGCTCTCTTGAAAAGACCCCACGAGGTAAGCGCGTGGCTCTGAGAAGCTTTCCTTTCTTGAGCTTCCCTGCTGAGGTTCCCGATGGAGCCTCGGCGTCGCCTTTTGCGTCTCCGACTTCCATCTTCTGTCACTGCTTCTCTGACGTTTTCCTAAGTTGCTCCCTAGGGTGCTTTGTGCCCATTCTCATCACTCCTCAAAGGAGACACAGGTCTTCTAGGTCCCCCCCAAGGACCGGGATGACCTGGGATGGTTGAAGGAGGACTGACCTGCTGTGGGCAGGTGTGTTTGCAGGGGGCCCCTCCGATTCGTTGGGGGCGAAGGTTGCCACCAGGAGTCTAGGGACATCCACTGCTCCAGACGACTCGCCTGAGTGTCCGTGGGAGGTTGTGGATGGACGGAATGGGGGGTGTTCCGAAGGTTCAGTGTGCAGAAGTAACGTAAGAAGGTGCTTGGTAGACAGTACGTTTTAGGTATGGAAGTGGTTTGTTGTGGACGGGGAGTGTTTAAGCCAGTGAAAGTGCAGTGAGCATTCAGGCGTTGAAGTGTGGATTTTTCTTGTTGGTGGGGCTTTCTGCGTTAAGCACAGAATGTTGACTTTCAAGTGTAAAATTGCTACTAAGTCTAAAAGAAAACTTGCAACAAGTGAGAGGTTGTGCAGTTCCGCCCGGGGTGGAGCAGGCCTGCTTATTAGTTCATTCATCAAAACCTTTTTCAGGTTAGGATACCACTGGTGGAGCCGTGTTCCCTGTTTAATCTTAAAAAACAGCAGCAACAACAAAAAAACTAAAAAAGAAAGCATCCAGGGTGCTTTGCTGGGCGTTAAAGTAACTAATAAGTAAAGACCTTATAAAAACATCACTTGTTTATCTGAGTCATAAAATGGTTCTTTGTTTAGACATCTAAGGAAATATGCCTCATTCTTTACCCAGAATGTTAAGATGCATCTGCACTTGAGTGATGCCTGCAGAAGTTTGTTTCAAAGCTCAGCTGTTTTGTTCTCCTTACCGTGTGTGTGTGTGTGTGTGTGTGTGCGCGTGCATGCTTGCTGCTGCCGCCTCCCGAATTCCTGAGCTGAGATGAAAGTGCGGTTGGCGGGAGCTGCGAGGGCTGACTGACTTGTCCATGCACTTCTCTGTTTTAGAATAATCTATAAGTGTTCCATGTGCGACACCGTATTTACCCTGCAAACCCTGTTGTATCGCCACTTTGACCAACACATCGAAAACCAGAAGGTGTCTGTTTTCAAGTGCCCAGACTGTTCTCTTTTGTATGCGCAGAAGCAACTCATGATGGACCACATCAAGGTGTGTGCGCCTCCCTCTCTGTCCTTTTCCATGAATCCCAGACCCATTCATTGGTCGCAAGTCATGGCCGAGCAGCAGGTTCAATGAAGCATGGGGACTGTGGAGGGAAGGATGGATGCTGGTCGTGGGTGATGAGCAGGTTACAGCTGGGTGCTGTCATCCGGGTGCTTGACAGGGATGCCTTTTATTCCTGAATCCCAATCTGCATACGAGGCACGACCAACACCATGACACACCCATGCGCTGACTTGAAAATCGTAATGAAGGTATTAGGGTTCTTTTCTTCTGCAGGTGAAAATGATAACTGTAATGATTACTACTTTTTAAAAAAAACATTTTATTTATTTATTTTTAGAGAGAGGGAAGGAGGACAAAAGGGAGAGAAACATTGAGGTGTGAAGGAAGGAAAGATCGATCAATTGCCTCTCACAGGCCCCCCGACTAGGGACCTGGCCCGCAGCCCAGGCATGTGTCCTGACCAGCATGGAACCAGTGACCTTTCACTTTTTGGGATGACACTCAATCCTCTGAGCCACACTGGTCTAGGCCAAAGTTGACTTTTTTTTTTTTGAAACCTGGGGTTGTATAGGGTTTAGAAATAGAGACTCTGACAAAGTGTCTAATTCATATACATATTGGAGTACTTAGAAAAATAAAGGTATTTCCCTTGAGATGGAGCAGTTCCATTTGCATTGTCATGGATGCCCTGGACCGTTCTGTTTTTTTCTCTTTAGTCAGTGTGCACACTGACTAGGACACAGCACAGTGTCAGGCACCTGGGGGGTGTTCATTTAACGAAAGGAGTAAATGTCCAGTTTGGATGACCGACTGTCCAGCCCCCAAAGGGGACACTGAACTCTCTTCCCAGCCTTTGAAGTCCGCTGAGGGCTGAGCTAAGTCCTAGCCTCTTAGCTGTGCACTGTGATAGGTTAAGCAGTTTTATTCCCCTGTGATGAGAAAAGATCCATTCGCTCTCAAGGGATGAAAGTGATTTGCCTTTTTAGAAAGAGAAACAGCAGATCCAATATTGTCCTGATGTCAATCTCTTTCCCTTAGTTTACACCTCTATTTCAGTGAGCTACACTGAAAGGTCAGTTTAAAGAGCAAACCGAGTCTGAAGCATTCAGCCTGTTCTCACCGTAGTTAAATGAATGGCCTGTTAATCCTTGGAATTTCCTGTGTTGGGTGTCTGTGAGCCCGCACGGCCTAATCGCCTGTTGTGAAGGACGTCATGTCTTGGAGTCTGCACAGTAGAGGCCAGACAAAGGTCGTGGCAATGTGACGTTCCTAGTGCCAATCGGGTGCCTAGGTGATATGGGGCATCATTCTCACTTTAAGTCTGATGCAGTCCTCTTAAGGTAGTCTAAAGGTTTTTGCCAAAATTATAAAACTATCTTGACAATAAATAGTTAGTGAATGATCAGGAAAAATTAAAAGCTGCTAATAAAAATGTAGGGACATGGGAATTAGACCCAAATACTGTAATATACTTAGATGGGGCAGGGGAATCAAGAATAAAAGTCACTCCTTGAGAGGCTGCTAAGGAAGACATTTGCCTTCTGGAACTCCTCCTATCTGGAAGTGGGTCCTTGACCTTGTGGTTAGGGTCTTCCTTGTGTTAACAGTGGACCTGGAGGAATACAAGGTCTCAAGAAGCAGAGACTGGAGAGGCGTGGCAAACTCTGGTGGCCACAAGGAGGAAAAGGGTTGTTTTCACTCATCCTAATTTTTGTGGGTCATGATGTGAAACCAGTGGGAAATGCACACTCACGGTCGCATTTTAACTGTGTTCTGTGCTTTTCAAATACGATCCTGCCTGTGTCTGAGATGAGGAAGAGTGAAGGTCAAGTGTTAGGGGCACCCTGTTGTTATTTCTAGGATATGTACTCACCTCTTGCGAGTTTATTTACATTTGCCCAGTACCCGAGCTGTTCAGTTTGTCAGAGGAAGGAAGGAAGAGGAAGGAGCAGAGGGACAGTGTTTCTCCACAGACGTGTCTATTGACAGGCAGGTCTCTGTTGGCCAATCGGACCCAGTCATCACTGAGCTCCAGCAAACACAGGTTTTCTCACTGTAGGCCCCGCCCTCCATGCAGCCTTTTAGAGTGTAGTAAACTTCCACGGTGGGATCATTCAAGTTACTGTTACTGAAACAAAGGAAGATGACCTCTGAGAGGATTAAATTGTGCTTCTGTTATTCAGAAGATTTTTTAAGTGAACAATCTTATTTTTATTTATAATGTGAAAATAACAAGTGTAAGTTAGAAATTCTCTAGCACACATTCTGTTGCTCTCTCGTTACAGCAGAATTTGTTTTGCTGCTTTTCTGTAATTTCAGTGGCACGGTAAGCTATTTATAAAGGAATACTTTATTCTCCCTTCACCTTTTAAGTTAGTAAAAATGTATTTGCCTAGAAACTTACTGAAAGCTTACTAGAAGATTTTGGGTTTAGGTTTATTTGGGGGGGGGGATTTAAATAGTTAACAATGTAAAAATGTGGCTTGTGTTTTGAAAAAAGCCGGAAGCCTCTGCCCTGCATGGCAGAAAGGAGGCCAAAGCCCAGAGTTTTGCCAGTAGAAATCTCACCTGATTTCTCTTTGCAAAGGAGCATTGGATGTGCGGGCCCTGTTTACAGGGTGGAGCTGTAACGGAGGCTCCTGAGATGATACTAGAAGCCCCATTACCCTCCTGGGGTGAGACAGTGTAAGAGAAGCTTGGCTCCTTCTCGGTACTGTTGAGAGAAGACCTTGCCTTGAGGACTGAGAGCATAGGCTGGAGAATACTCGGAAGGGCCAGCCTCTCACTCCGACACTCAGGGAGGCTGGTGGAGCCTGGTCTTGACCCAGCTCGACCGGGGCCCCGGAGGCCTGCGTGTGCCAATGCAAGAAGCGGGCACGATGTCCTGTCTTTCAGGCTAATGAAAGGAGGCCCTATGCAAAGATACACTGTATATTGAGACACAGAGCGATTTGCTTCCTTGGTTTTTTGTTTGTTTTTTATTCCATGCTTGTAGAACCCAAACAAAACGAAAACCAAAGTGGGCTGGTCTTTAAAACCAAATGCAGTCATTTTACCCCCGTGGAATTTGAAATCCTGAGATTTTAACTTGGAGGTCACCGCTCAGGTTAATGAGAACAAAACAGCTAAGCAGTTTGAAAGGCTTTTTGAGTCTCTCCTATGTATATAGTTCACAAGTCTGGGTGCTGTCTGTCAGAAGGGATGGGTGCAGATAGGGTGCAGGGGGGATTACACTTACCAGCCCTCTCAACCCCCAGCAAAACCTCACACTGTTCCAAGTCTCCCAAGAGTGTGAAGATTGGGAGAAAGGTTTACTTTTAGCGTATTGGTACCAGGTATTTCTAAAGCAGCTGAGGGTCTTCACTTTTACCAGAATGTGAAAGTAGGACCCTTTCCCCAGAGACAGTCTGTTACGGAGAAGGTTCACCATGTCGCCCTGGAGTGTCAGGAATGACCTGGGTTCAGCACAGAAGTCTTTCTTTCAAGAGTTTCAACATGCCACAAACAAGTTTTCAAGAATAATTTGGAACTAGAAATGAATATTTAGTTGACATATAAACAAGGCTTATCTCTTTTTTTAAGCATATATTTTGCTCAGGTTTTCTTTTTCGTGGATTAAATACTTCTGAATGAATACAAAGTCTTGTTTGTCCTGTGCATGAAGAGTCCCCCGGTACTTTCTTTTAGTTGTGTGATCTGTGATAGATGTTTCTTTTGTTTTTATGACGCAGTCTATGCATGGAACGTTGAAGAGTATTGAAGGGCCTCCAAACTTGGGCATAAACTTGCCTTTGAGCATTAAGCCTACAACTCAAAATTCAGCAAATCAAAACAAAGACGACACCAGGTCCATGAATGGGAAAGAGAAATTGGAAAAGAAGTCTCCATCCCCCGTGAAGAAATCGATGGAGCCCAAGAAAGTAGCCAGTCCTGGGTGGACGTGTTGGGAGTGCGACCGCCTGTTCACACAGAGAGATGTGTACATTTCTCACGTGAGGAAGGAGCACGGGAAGGTAAGAGGGGAGCCCCGCCCCCAACGCCCTGCCCCGCCTGGTGTAAGGAAGCGCACGGGACGGGTTGACCTCTAGGACAGACAGACTTCCAGGATTTGGGTTCTTGGCTGGGCTCTGGCAGTGGTTAGTAAGGTGACCTCAAACACCCCTCAGTGTCTCCGAGCCTCAGTTTCTTTAGCTATAAAATGGAATTTCCAAGTCTTCCCATCATCTTGTGTGATTGTGCTAATCCTCGCCTCTACTTACACAGCCGAGGTTGGCAGTGGGGGATTCACCACATTCGTGCGGAAGCTGAGCACAAAGGTGACCCAAAGTTAAAAAATGTTTGAGGTTAGTGCTTAGTCCTATGACAAGTGCGGGGGAAAGCAGGAGAGGAAGAAAGCGGCTGGACTGACAACTGCGAGTAGCATTGTATGACTTCCGTGATTACTTCCTGAGGTTGGTGGTGGGGAGAGGGGCCTCCTCCTCAGACGTGTCTGGGAGAAGTTCTAGAACTCACAGTCACTGAACAACCTGAGTTGCAATCTGTGTATTCTTTTTTAGATGTGTTACTTTTTAAATTCTTACCTGAGGGCAGTTTTTCATTGCTTTTAGAGAGGAAGGGAGAGAGGGTGTAAAAAGAGGAGAAGGGCAGGAGAACGAGGGAGAGAAACACTGACCAGTGACGTGAGACCGGGACCAAACCCTTGACCTTTCGGTTTGCCAGGTGATGCCCAACCAACTGAGCCATACCAGCTGAGGCTGGTCTTTCTTTTTTAAAAAATAAGTATACATCTCCAATTAATAAGGAAAGCATTTTTAAAAGATTTTTTATTTATTTATCTTTAGAGGGGAAGGGAAGGAGAGAGGGAGAGAAATATCGATGTTATGGTTGCCTCTCGTGCGTCCCCTGCTGGGAACCGGCCTGCAACCCAGGCGTGTGCCCTGACTGGGAATCGAACCACGATCCTTTGGTTTGCAGGCCCGTAATAAAGAAAACATTTTAAATGCTCCTTATTAGACTTAATAAACTAGCAAGATAATTTTTAATATTATTATGATTGTCTCAAAGTTGGTTTGTTCTGGTCAGGATCCAGAGAAAAGTCTGCTTACATTTGGGCATATAACTTAAGAATTCTGTAGCAGTTTTATTTATTTTTTAATGTGCTATTAAGTTGTTGGAAAAATTGTGTACATATGTCCCCCGAGTTTCTGGATTTGGGTCATGGCTTCCTTTTGACGTTGTTTAACTTGTTCTTCTTTATCCCATAACTCTTAGAAATTTGATGACATTCAGGTTGAATCTCTTTAGATAGGAATACGTCCTAGGTGCAGTATTCTTGCTGGAATGCATCCGAGGCACATCCTACCAGCTTGTCCCATGTGTAGTGATTGTAGGATTGATTCAGGGCGTCAGGGACATTACACGTTAAAGAAACCATTTTACTCCTTTAACTTAAGCCAGAAAAACCAAATAGTTGACTTTGGAAACCTGTGTAAAGAGTGTATAGGAATTGGTTTGCAATTATTGATGGTATGTACTGGAGTCTTGTTACATTAAGTGCTTAAGTGTCGCTTTGTAATCTGATTTGTTGAAATCATTTATTTGAACTAGTCATGAAGCTAAAGTTTTACCTGGCTACCTTCCAAATCTTACTTGCTTGAGAACATCAGTCACAGTGATCACAAATTGCAAAAAAGATATTTGTATTGGATTAGGTCTAACTGTATTTAATTCAGCATCTCTTCATGTAAAAATTAGTGACTTATGGAATATACATGGCTTTAGTAGCCATTGTTTATTTCATCATCTCCACTTCAGGCTCCCCGAATAGGCCACAATCCACATCTTACAATATGCATTGTTAAGTATCAGATAGTTCTTCAGGGTCAATACTTGAAAAGCCTTCTGTGTAAATACCAGCAGTTCTTTCAGAGCCTGATGTGTTAATGATTCTAGAAGTCTGTGCTTGGCGCCCAAACTGGATTTCACAAATATTTAAACACCAGCCGACTGTAATTATCTAACAGTCCAATCCTTTCGTCTCTTGCACATTTGAGACTTCTGTAACTGTCTTAGAACATTTCAGGATTTTTTCTGTTTATTTTTCCCCCTAAACTGTCCTTATCTTGCACATCTGACAATTACTGGATCTAGGCTCTAAGATGAAATTTAACACTTATTGAAACTATTTGCTTTGGATGGTGCACGGAGCTGGCCCTGGAACTGGTGTGTGTGCCAGTGTGTTGTGTGGGCCTGCATACGCAGCCATTCATCACCGAGGAAATGTTGGGCTTAGTAGGATTTTAGGATTAGCTTTGAAGAGGTTGAGACCCTGCCTTTTGGAATGAGCCACATCAGATTAGATTACAGTTTCAATTCAGTTCAGGCAGCCTCCTGAAGGACCTGAAGGGAGGTGGGGGAGGGGAGGGAAATGTCTTTATAAACTGGTGAACTGAAAACGAGGTTCACTGAACGTGAGTCGAAAACCAGCGTGTGAGTTCTGCCGACTGGAGCCCTCCACCTCCAAACGCCTGCAGACACACTCGGGTCTCTCTACCCATTCTCTTCTTCCCTATGGGAATTCTCACGTGGCCCTGCCTGCATTTAAACCCCAAACTTCAAATCTTCTCCACTCTGTCTTTTCCTTTCACACAGCCAAGCAAATGTTTTTTGCTCTCCCAGTTACCCTTCCACTGACCACCTTTGAGATTTTCATCTTCACCTTTGTCAAGACTCCCTTCACCTGTGACCTCATTGTTGAGTCCAGCGGACATTTTTTTGGACTCGACCTCCATTGATTCCACTGCAGTATTTCAGCCAATTGGCAACTCTTCCTAAACACATTTTCCGCCCTCAGTGTTGAGCACTCCCTTCTCCTGGGTTTTCTCATGGTGTCTGTCCTGGAAACATTTCACAGACTCTCTCTGGGGAATGTCAGTGGCTCTTCTAACTCACTTCTCCCAGAAATGTACAGATAACTAACTGCCCAGTCTCTGTCTCCACTTGCTGCGGTTTCCTACCTGCATTCCATTCTCCAGAATCCAAGCACTTATCAAGTGTTTCAGCTTGTCGGCTAACTCACAGAAGCTTTAAACCCACTAAACAAAGAACCCACTCCGCCTGCCACCCGCCTCCCCCAGCTTCTGCAGCCAAAGCTTGGTGGCCAGCGTGGCTTGGTTTCCTTCCTTCTCTCCAGCCCTCTCCCCATCTCTTCACTAACACCCTGTGGTTCTCATTTATCTCCGTTCTTGCCCAGAGTATTGTCCTTGCTGTGCAGTTCCGATTGTGCAAAGTGTTATGTCCCTATTGCCCTCAGTCCCGTGGCTTCCTGGGAGTCCCTTGGTCTACTCTTTTTCTCTGGTCATATCTCATATCTCATGGTCAAGCTGGCCGGCAGTGCTCTCAACATTGCTCATTTGCCTCTGGGGCATTTCCGGTGACAGTCATTGGTTTGAAGGACTGCACCTTTCAGGTGGCTAACTTCTAGTCCTTCAGGCCTCAGCTTAGACATCAGCCCATCTGCAAAGCCGTCCCAAGTCCCGTCGGACAGAAGGAGGTCCTCTGCCTGCATTTGCCAAGTCAGTGTGCTCCCTGCTGTGTCCTTGCCGCTGGCTGCAGGGCGCCTCTCCCAGGAGACACTGCAGGGCTCCGTCCTCTCTCAGTTCCCCTCCACACAGCCCCTCTCCCTAACTCACGTGAGCCAGTAATCATTTCTTGAATGACTGGATCAAGAACGGTGCTGATTCAGAGAGAGCGTAGTTGTTTACGTCGCCAGGTGAGACGTTCCTGGAAAGACCTGGTTTCGCTGTGCACTGTGACAACACGTAAGTGTTCTGCAGCGGTGGGCTGCAGAGGTCCCTGAAGGCTGATTTTGGTAACTTGTGCTAAATTGGGCAGTAGAGTGTGGCGATGACGGCAGGGTGGCCAGCGCTGACGGGGGACCTGCCACACACTATTTAGTATCTCACTCGTCCCTAAAACGGGCTCGTGAGGTAGATGCTGTCACTGCTCCCGGTTTACAGACGAGGAGAGCAGGGAAGCCCGGGAGAGGCTCAGTCGTTCATTGCCCTGGTTCCACACCTCGTACACAGTGGACGTGGGATTCAGTCCAGGCTCCTCAGACACGCTGCTGAACAGTCCACTCTTTTCAGAGCAGAGAAGCTTAGGGTTTGAAAAACTGCTTGAGTTTAGCCTCATTGAATCTTTCAACATGGATTAGGAACAGTTAGCAAATATGTGACTTTCCATCCATCGTCGCTTTAATTGGTCCATGTTGTTTATGGTCGGTGTCGGTTAAGTTGTTTATGCCATCGTTGAATGAGTGTGTTTGTAGTTTTGGAAGAATGTTGAGTCTTATAGTCTTCCCTTGGGACCTACAGCCTTACAGGAGTGAGTTGCAAGAGTTGCAGTCGTAGTAAACAGTGCTGTGATGTTGTTAATTTATCACGTAACTCCTCCCACCTTGAGCCATGGATTTCTTAGCCACTGCCTGGGAGGTGTTTGGGGCTGGCTGAAGATGTTAGTAGCCTCTCCCTGCAGAGAGAGTTCAGTAATCTGGAGAAATGCCCAGGAGAGAGGCCCCTGCCTGCCTCTAGGAGTTCTCAGAGGCTCTCCATTGATCCTGTGGCTCTCTCGTACCTGCGGCGTGGCCAGTCACGCTCGCTCCTCTTTGTAACCATCGATGGCCCCCCTCACTTTGACCAGCTGCCTGGCAGGTGGGAGCCTTTGGCCAGGTGACCGGCCCAGAGGGACCGGGCCCGCATAGACCCTTGAAGCGGGTATTAGGAAATGACAGAAGATGCTGGTGCTACAGGCGTGTGCCACGCTGTGTCTTTGCACTCGGAGGGCAGCTCCTGTGGCAGCCTGAAAAGTTGACCCTCCTCTACGGGGTGAGCGAGCAGTGACTGGTTGCAGCCGGGGGCTCCCTGCCCCCTCCGTGACAAAGGTGTTTACAGACGGGCCAGCTTCTGCAGTGAGTGCCTCGCCTGCCACAGCTGCTGCTGTTTTGGAGATTGAA